CGATTCTGTGTACGCAGCACAGGCAGTACATGTAGACCTGTGCCACTGGAGAAGAAAAGGTTTTGTGACTTCAACTGGGTATCCGGTAAAACACTTGCAGCAGTTACTGGAATTAGAGCAAGCATTGTTGCTACCAAAGCAGGTGGCAATTATTAAGTGCAAAGGACATCAGAGAACAGAGACTCAGATAAACAGAGGTAATAATGTAGCTGATTTGGCTGCCAAGGTAGCAGCCGGTTATCAGGTAGCTCAGGGAGCTATGAAAGGGATCCAAGACCTAAGGGGGTCAGAGTTTAAGGAGCCTAGGACAGGCACTCAGGACCCAGAAGGTCCAGCTCAGGGAGCTAAACAGATGAGTCAAGACCCTGCAGAACGGGGTTATGTTTGTGAGACAGAGTTGAGTTTGCAGATTATTAGGGAAATACAGAATAAAGCTGCTCCTAATGAAAAGCAGGAGTGGCTAGGACAAAAGGGCATCTAAGGATCAGACAGGATTGTGAAGAAACCACAAAGGTAAAATAGTAGCCTCGGCAGGACTACTTAGTTTGCTGTGTCAAGAGGCACACAGCAGAAGACACTGTGCAAGCTCCAAGATTAATAGTCTGATCTCTCAAAACTGGTGGCATCCGCATTTGAGGGATATCACCAAGTACTTTGTTGCAACGTGTGATACATATAACCAGTTCAACACCAGAGCCGATCTGATAATAGAACACACTTCTCAAACGATGATCTATGTCTGGTTGAACAGATGTTTGAGATAAAACACAAGTTTGGGCTGTCTATCATGCAGCCTCTCAAGGTCTTGTTGAGTGTGCAAACAGAACTATAAAAGAAGGGCTCGCGAAAGCCTGCGCAGACACTTACTTACCTTGGTTGAAGCTCTACCTATTGTATTGTTCAACCTCAGGTCCACTCTGAATGCGACACTTAATGTAAGCCCACATGAAATCCTGACAGGGAGGAAGATGCCCTGTCCTCTAACTGTTCAAAGGTCAAAGGTCAAAGTGTTTATTTGTCATATGCAGTTAGGAAATGTGTTTCCCTCTAACTTTTATGCCTAGAGATTTAACACCTCTTCTTTTACAGCATGCTGACATGAGTGAATATGTCAGACAACTGAACAATGCTGTGATGAGTGTCTTTGAGCAGGTTATTGAAATCCTGAGCAGGGACCAACCTGAGGAACCAACACCAGCTGCAGTGGACAGCTGGATCTGTCGAAAGGTGCATAAACTTTGCTGGTCAGAGCCACATTGGAAAGGTTCTTATAAGGTAGCAGAAACTACCACATACCGTGTTAAACTGTGGCTCACTGAGAACAAGCTAAGTAACTGGATCCATAAGACACATTGTTCTCCAGCTGAGGATCCAGCTGGACGGACAGTGAATGAGGTCAGGGTTGATTTAAGAACCTCATTACCTGAGTTGATATACAATCCTGTAGAACCAGAGCTACAGTCAGAAGAGGACCTACACTAGTGTAATATTTATCAGAGAACAAAAACGTTGACAGAGACAGCAGACAAAATGCCTAGTCTGACAAGTTTAGGCAGTTGTCCTGGTATGGTTATGTGTGTACTGGGCCTCATTAGCCTAGTTATAGTGGTACTCATATTGTGGTGAGAAACAAGGTCCCACATACACCGTGAGAAAAGAGCTAATGTCCTGATTCCACTCGGGTTGGTTTTTAATTTGGGTAAAACTTCTACTTTAATGATAGATGATTCTTGATTGCTCTGTGTGGCCACAGCAAGAGCAATTAAGACAGTTTGATAAATATATTTCTATACTGTCCTATGTCTAGTTTAATGTTCAGTGTCTTACTAATCTTACTAATCTCATTAACCTCACTAATCTTACCAGAAATTTAGTTAGGTTTCAGGAGCAACTGGCAGCCACTTCTCTTATGTTGTATTAGAACAGATTGGCATTAGACTTCATTCTGACTGAAAAAGGAGGTGTTTGTATTTTGATTGGGCAACAGTGCTGTACTTACATCTTAAATAATACTGCTCCTGATGCCTCTATTGCTAGGGTTGAAATTTAGCAGAGGAGATGGCTGACCATTTAGAAATTAAAAATTGCATTGATGATTGGTTTGTTAAAATTTTTGGCAAGTGGAAAAATTTAGTGATTTCTTTGCTTACATCTTTTGTGGCAGCAGTTACTTGACTTTGCTGACCCTGTGTGGATGCTGCAGCATCCCCTGCATTAGGCATATTTGTTTAAAGTGTATCACCACTGCCACTGATAATAGATACCCCAATATCCTTGGGAAACTATGCCCATGATCTCACTCACTGAGCCCGGTGAGTCTGAGATTGAAGAGGACCCCTCAATAGGGAAGAAGACCGTGGCCTCTGTACACATTATTGCTAAGGGTTAATACATATCCACATATATTCTTGCATACACGTAGGTGGTGTGGACTCATAGGTGTGTGATTGATTTTGATTACTGGGTAGAATTTTGTGATAAATGTGTGATACTGGAAGAAGATCTTTGGTCTCCAGCATAATGTATTCCTCTTGCAAATGTTATGATTAACCATTGACTGTTTGCTACAGGTTGTTTAGACATTTCCACGCTTTTGTCTGAAAAATGCTATAATTGCAATGAAGACCAGTTTACACATAGAAGCTTACATATAGGATCACTGCAACGAAGACCAGCTTACATGCCTATATTTTTTATGTTATTATTTCAGATTTTTCCCTAGGTACTCAGCTCTGGGCTTTCCCTGGAGGGGGTGGTATGGGGAGCCTCTCTCCTCCTTGGATGCCTAATCTGGGGACAACAGGGACATTTGATTTAGGTTGACGCAATAAAAATCGTGTCAAAAGGGAGAATTTGTTAGAAATTAATAATTCAGCCAGATAATTATTAGACATTAATGTGTTTTAATGTGTTATTAATACAGTTGGTAATATTTGAAGTCTGCTCTAGTGTGCTTTGCTTCAAGGTTAGAAGATAATGATAAATCTGAAAAGTGTACCTTGACACCAATTGTTTTCTTGTATTAATCTGGTGTTAGATTCATGTCTGAATGAATGGTTTAGTTACACACCACGTAACAACATACTGTACACACACGGAGTTCTTAATTTGTTCTGATTAATGCTTGA